CCAGAAAATGGGCCCTTGCCAGATACCAAGTCTGCCAGCACCTTGATCATGGACTTCCAGTGTCCAGAACTGTGAGGAATAAATGACTGTTGTTTATGAGCCACTCAGTTTATGGCGTTTTGTGGTAGCTGCCCGAACTGGCTAAGACTGACCGACTCTTACCTTAGAAAGGACTTTTTATTTTAGCTTCTTTAGCATTTCACTTCTCATATCACATAGGCACTGCCATCTCTAAATACAGGACCAGGCACAGGCACTTTGCAGCCACCTGCATCATTGTGTGATGAGGAATTCACTGACACACAAGGCAGTCCCTTTCATTTTGGGAGAGTTCAGATTGTTAGAAATTAAAACTTTTATAATGAGTCGATATATGTTTTCTTACTAGTTTTTACTATCTGAAATTAATTCTGATCTCTTATACTAAAACAATTTCCCTTTCACATGAAAATATTCCAAAGTTTTGAAGATGCCCACAAATGAGTCCTATCTTCAGTGTGAGACTTACTCCCAGTTTATCTTTACGTAAGCACCAAACCGTAGTTCCTGGAAGTATTCCACTGTATTATAATACCTTCTAAGACATGATGGATGAGCAGAAAAACAAAAAATATGTACTTCAAATGTGTTCTTACCAGTATGGAGAAATGTGATAATGTCATTTCTATCAATAAAACCCAAGTTTTCAAAGCTACTGGCAGGAGTGTTGCAGGTCTGATTCAGGTGGAGCAGGTGGTCAACTAACTTCCAAACCTCTTTCACACGAAGCACTATCAATCTGGACCTGTTCCTTCTGCAATGTGACCCTCTAGCTTTACTGCTGTTGCTTTGTTGGTAATTTTAACTCAGGGACCGTACAATTGCTCCCTGCTGATTTCAGCCAGCTGAGACACAGAAGACCCCACCCCACCCCAGCATTCTCTCATCTGGACCACCCATAAGCACAACTTCTCTATCTCTTCTCAGGAGAGTATCAGTAAGAACAAAGGCAGCAACAGAGCCCCATGTGCAGTGAACACACTTAATTGTGGCCTCTACAAGATCACAGACCACATCTGTCTGATCGCTAATACACACTCAGAGCCTAGGGCCAAACGTGTCTCCAGGTAAACACTCTAAAGAAGTGCACATTCTCACCAAAATTTGAAACCTCTGACCTCTACTTTTAGTTCCCCTTAACTATGCAAGATCTACCTTGTCCAGTTTGGAGAGGATTCTCTTTGATAAAAACACGAAGACAAAACAGGGGCTCAAAAGCTCTGCTTTCTCACTATATTCAGTTAATATTGTGACATCTGCCCCAAGAATTGTGTTTCTCTGATGTTCTTTTCTCTCTTGATCAAGTATAAGACACCCATTGGAAACAAGCGACAATGACCTCTCCAAAGCCAAGGGCTACGGGCCACATACCGTGGGTGTGTGAACTGGATTTAGTTGAACCTAAACCCACCTAGAACAGGCACAACAGATCCTACTAACTGAGCTAATCGCTGCTGAGAATTTCCCCAACAAATGAGCTACAAAGTCTGTAGCAAGAATGGGCAAAGTCTGGGCAAGAATCCAAATGTCTCCACCTCTGAAATATCCTTACCTGAACTGAAGAGAGCTCTTGGTAAGTTTCTTTCTTTATACTCTTCATGTGGACAGTGGCCAGCACTGTGGGAGAAGGAGAAACCGCATGAGGCCCTGCTACAACCTCTACAGGGCAGGGGTGGGTGGACTCCCAGAGCCGGGTTGGAGAGCTGCAGCTCCACACACCTCACAGACTTCTGCCACCAACAGTCACAGCTGGTGGCGACACCCGCATCCAAATGTGCAAGACACAAGGGGCTTTCAAGTACGAGGGCACTTCAAAAGGTTTGTGGAAAAACAGAATTAAAAGATAATACAAATCTTTCTGTGAACTTTCTGAAGACCACGCGTACGTCCCTTCATGCAGCATTTACAACAAATGGCCCAGAGTAGTAAGAAGGGTAGTTAAGGGCCGGCCTGGTGGCACACTGGAGAGTGCGGCACTTGGGAGCGTGGCGGCGCTCCCACCGAGGGTTCGGATCCCATGTGGAGACCGGTTCCT